ACCATGGAATCCTTCATTAAGTTCTGCATACTTAATACTACTGAAATTAATACTCCATTCAATCAACTAGAAAATATTTTGCTCTTATCAATTTGGCTAATATGTTCCAGCCTATGCATAGTTGTACAGTCTCTCAGGAGCAACTTGTCTTTACCTTTGCAAAAACAATAAATTTTCACTCAACTCCCCCATGGGATATTTCAACATCTCCTCCAGTACACATAATTTTACAGGAAAGAACTTAACCACATCCCACTCATTCCAGGAACCAGGTATGACACTATATTGACAACATCCTCTTGAAAGGAAATTCAAATGATACACACACTCACATGGGATCTACAAACATTTGTCATAAAGCTTTCCAGTTAAGGTTGGGCCATTGCATCCTGTAAAGTTGAAGGCCCTGCTACTTCAGTAAAATTACAAGACATTTCTCATCAGCCCAATGATGATTCATAGCTGATGCAGTAAGAAACCAACTCTTCTCTTTCATCACCACTTCTTACTTTGATGTAGACTCAACATTTACTGTTGTTTGGGTTTCAGAAATAACATGTTCTTCCTTTACAAAGTTTGCTTAAGCACATTATGCTGTTAGATTGAGGTGTACAACATAATGATTCAATATTTATATATTTTAAGAAATGATCACCACAATAAGTCTGGTTGACATCCTTCAACATACATAATTACAGAATATTTTTTTCTTCAGCTGCTGTTTATTGACATACAGGTGGGCTGTAGAGCAACAGGCCTGAAGGCAGGTGGAGTGGGGGAAATGAAGGTGGAGGGTGGAGTATTTGCCTGCAGTGACAGCTGAGTCAAGTGCAGGAACAGAAGTGCACAACCAGGTGGGAGTGTGCAAGGCTAATGGGGTTGGAGAAACAAGTGTAGGCCAGATCCAGAGTCTGCTGGAACTGGAACCACTGCCTTCTCTAGCTGGCTGCCTCCTGACCCCAGGCTAGGCTTGGAGGTTCTCTGAGTATACAGTTCTATAGGAACTGGATGGACTGCACAAAGGAGGAGAAGCAGGAGCTGTTGCCTTCTATGTTAAGCTCTGGAGCCACCAGTCCTATACCCCTGTCCCTCTTGCTTGGGTGGGGCCATAAGATGGTCAGCCTGGCTCTGGGCTATCTCACCTGAGCAGTGTCTTAAAAATAGCCATGTTTTACAGGTGTTAATCTCCTCTCCTGGTGTCCCAGCCCACGAATGCTGCACTACAGGTGAGACCTAAGTGAGCACTACGAGCAGTGCTGGACTAATGGATGGGTTGGGGAAAGGGATGGGACAGGAGCTGGAGGGGCTCTGGGGCCCATCACGGCACAGGACACCACTGGTAAACACAATGACCCAATTTCTCTTTTTAGAAAACCCTTGGGCCTCACCAACATTCATGGCCAAGTCCACCTGGAGGTCCACATCCTCAGTCCAGGCCTTTTACACTGGGTCCTTACACACCATGGGGAAGATGTCACAGTACAGGTGGGCCTGGCAAGCTGTCTGGTGATTATGGGTCACACCAATAATGGGGGTGTGGGGGTGGCACCTGGACACCTGGTGAGCAGACCCACCAGACTTGGTGAGATTGACTATGGCCCCACTGCAGCACTTTAAGGAGGCCTCCATGATACCCACAGCAGCGGCTTCTGTGGGGTCACTAGTAATGGGTATCAGGCGACATTATCTTCAACAGTTCACTGGAGTTCCCTTTTCTCCACATTCTTGCCAGCACTTGTTTGTTGATTTATTAATGATAACCATTCTGACAGATGTGAGGTGATATCTCATTGTGGTTTTAATTTGCACCTCTCTATGAACATTGGGGTGCATAGGTTCTTTTGGATTGGTGTTTCAGGGTTCTTAGGATATAATCCCAGCAGTGGAATTGCTGGGTCAAAAGGCAGATCCATTTTTAGTTTTCTGAGAAAATTCCATACTGTTTTCCATAGTGGTTGTACCAGTCTACAATTCCACCAACAGTGCCCTAGGGTCCCTTTTCACCATAACCTCTCCAACACTTGTTGTTTGTTGCTTTGTTTATGATGGCCATTCTGCCAGTGTGAAGTGGTATCTCATTGTGGTTTTAATTTGCATCTTTCTGATAGCTAGTGATACTGAGCATCTTTTCATGTGTCTCTGGATCCTCTGCATGTCCACCTTGCAGAAGTGTCTGTTCAAGTCCTTTGCCCACTTTTTAATTGTGTTGCTTGTCTTCTTAGAGCGGAGTCATGTGAGTTCTTTATATATTTTGGAGATTAAGCACAATTTATAATAGCCAAGTGTTGGAAGCAAGCTAGGTGCCCATCAGTAAATGAATGGATATGGTACATTTACACAATGGAATTCTATGCAGCAGAAAGAAAGGTGCTCCTACCCTTTGCGACAGCATGGATAGAACTGGAAAGCATTATGCTAAATGAAATTAGGCAGGCAGTGAAAGAAAAATACCATATGATCTCACCTTTAACAGGAACCTAGTCAACAGAACAAATGGACAAACAAAATAGAACCAAAGACACTGAAAAAAGAACAGGCTGACAGTGACCAGAGGGGAGAGAGGGAATTTCGGGAGAAAAGGGGAAGGCTCTACAGGAATAAGTATGGGGGACAGATGGATGGAGAGAAGGGGGGGTGGAAATTGGAGGGAGGTAGGGAGGGCCAGGATGGGAGTAAAAGGCACAAAACTGTACTTGAACAACAATTAAAAAAAAGTAAAAAAAAAAAACATTTGCATCTCTCTGATGGCTAGTGTTGTTGAGCATGTTTTCATATGTCTATGGGCCACTGGGTCGTCCTTCTTGGAGAAGTGTCTATTCAGGTCCTTTTCCCATTTTTAATTGGATTGTTTGTGTTCTTGGTGTTGAGTTGTAAGTGTTCTTTATGCATTTTTGAGATTAAACCCTTGTCTGATGTATCATTGGCAAATATTTGCTCCCATACTATTAGTTCCATTTTTATTTTGACAGCTGCTTTAGCAGAAGCTTTTTAACTTGATGTAGTTCAATTTGTTTATTTTTTCTTTTATTTCCCTTGCCTTAGGAAATATATCATCAAAAATAGTGCTATGTAAGGTGTCTGAAAATTTACTGTTTATGTTTTCCACTAGGCCTTTTATGGTCTTGTGACTTATATTTAAGTCTTTTACCCATTTTGAGTTTATTCTGGTGTATAGTGTTAGTTGGTGATGTAATTTAATTTTTTTGCATGTACCAATCCAGTTGTCCCAACACCATTTATTGAAGAGGCTATTTTTACTCCATTGTATGCTCTTGCCCCCTTTGTCAAGTATTAATTGACTATAGAGACATGGGTTTATTTATGGGCTTTACATTCTGTTCCTTTGATCTATGTGTCCTTATGCCAGTACCAGACTGTTTTGATTAAAGTGGTCTTGTAGTATAGTTTGATATCAGGTATTGTGATCCCTCCAAATTAGTTCTTCTTTGTGAAGATTGATGTGGGTAATTTGGATCATTTTTGGTTCCATATAAGTTTTGAAGTATTTCTTCTAGATCTGTAAAATATGTCCTTGGTATTTTAATAGAATTGCATTGAATCTATAGATTGCTTTGGGTAGTACAGACATTTTAATGATGTTAAATCTTCCAGTCCATGAACATGGTATATGCTTCCATTTATTTTTATCTTCCTCAGTTTCTTTCTAAAGTGTTCTATAATTTTCTGAGTACAGGCTTTTTACCTCCTTGGTTAAATTTATTCCTAGGTACTTTATTTTATTTTTTTGCTGTTTTAGTAAATGTTTTTTTCTTAGTTTCTCTTTCTAATAGTTCATTGTTGGTGTATCAAAATGCCTTCAATTTCTGGAGGATGACTTTGTATCCTGTTCCTTTGCCAAATTCACTTATTAGGTTGAGTAGTTTTTTGGTGGTGTCTATAGGGTTTTCTAGGTCCACTATCATGTCATCTGCTAATAATGACAGTTTTACTTCTGCCTTTCCATTTTGAATGCCTTTTGTTTCTTCTTCTCTGATTGCTGTGTCAAGGACCTTCAGTACTATGTTAAAAAAGAGTGGTGAAAGCAGACATCCCTGTCTTGTTACTGACCTTTAGGGAAACACTTTTAGTTTTTACCCATTGTATGATGTTGGCAGTAGTTTTTTGTGTGTGTATGGTCTTTATTAAGTTGAGGTATGCTGCCTCTATTGCCACTTTGTAGAGTGATTTTTATCTAAAATGGGTGCTGTATTTTGTCAAATGTTTTTTCAGCATTAATTGATATGATCATGTGAATTTTGTCTTTCATTTTGTTTATGTGGTGAATCACATTTATTGATTTGAGAATATTGTACCACCTTGTGTCCCTGGAAAAAATCCCACTTGATAATGGTGTATCATTACATTACAATGGTGTATCATTACATTACAATGGTGTATCAATACATTTTTAATGTATTGTTGAATTGAGTTTGCTAGTATTTTGTTGAGAATTTTAGTATCCATGTTCATCAGATAATGGCCAGTAATTTTCTTTCTTTGTTGTGTCTTTAGTTGGTTTTGGGGTGAGGATAATAGTGGCCCCATAAAAAGAGTTTGGGAGCCTTCTTAGAGGAAAATTTGTCTATTTTTATATCTCCTGAAAACTGGGAAGAAGAGAATAACGAGTTTTATCAGACAGAGTGATAACATGGTCATTTCTGTAGACATAGATCATCATCACTATTGTTCCTGGGAAATTTGGGGCTAAATCAGGGCATATCAGTCATAGGAAGAGAAGCAGCTGAGCACCATATGATTGCAAATTAATGCTGTCTACATTTCTTGGTTCTGTAAGTAATACTAGATATATTGTTATGTTTACTGCAGATTTATTCTCATATATTTCTGGGAATAGAGCTAAAAATACCAATGCACGTATCAGTTGTGGGAAGTAGGTGTAACAGAATGGGGTTGTGATGTAGAAAACCATGACTAGTATATAGTTAGGGAAAAAAAATGGAAATAGGGAATCTTTTTGTAATTTGCCATTCAGTAGTCTTTTAGTTGTTTGAGACAGATGCAGCCCTTTTGAGTATGTCTTTGAAAGCTTGTACCACCTGCTTGTTCCTTAGAGTATAAATAAAGGGATTCATTACTGGGGCAACTGAGGTGGTCAGCACTGACACCATCTTATTAATAGCTACTCCTTCTTTTGCAGATGGTTTAATATAGATAAAGATGCAACTTCCGTAAGTGATTGAAACCACAATGATATGGGAAGAACATGTAGAAAAAGCCTTTTTCCTTTGCTGGGCAGAAGGGAATCTGAGAATGGTCCTGATGATATATGTGTAGGACATAATTACACACACCAAAGTGAAAATGAGTGTCAACACAGCGAGGACCAAGACAAACTGCTCTATAAACTTTGTGTCTGAGCAGGTAATCTTTAGAATGGGAGCAGCATCACATCCAAAGTGATCTATGACATTGGAGTCACAAAACTCAAACTCAAAGCCCATGCTGAATGGTGGGATGATGATGATTAGAGCAAGCATGTAACAGCCAATAAGGAGCTTGATACAGACTCTGTTGTTCATGATGGTCATGTAATGCAGGGGTTTACAGATGGCCACGTAACGGTCATAGGACATGGCCGTCAGGAGAAAAAACTCAGCCACACCTAGGACAACAACAAAGAATAATTGAGTGGCACATGCATTGTAGGTAACAGTGTTGTCCCCAGATGCCATTGTGTAGAGGAATCTGGGAATGCAGACAGTTGTAAAGGAAACTTCCAAGATGGAGAAATTTCGGAGGAAAAAATACATGGGTGTTTTAAGCTGAGAATCCACCAAGGTGAGGGTGATGATGGTTAGATTCCCAGCAACGCTAAGTAAGTAGGTTAGAAACAAAAAGATAAAAAGCAGAATCTGTAGATTTGGGTCATCTGTTAGTCCCAGCAGGATGAATGTTGTTATTGCTGTGTAATTTTTCATCACTGATTCCTGACTATTGCCTGTCCTGTGCATAAAAATAAGAGAGAAATAGACTGTCAGCATGGAGTAGGTAAAAGTGTTAGCTAAGCCAAGATTTCATTTCACTTGTTACCTGGTAATTAAGAATGCTGTTGGAGTGATAGTTGATAATGAACCAGTAATGCTACCAGACCTGTGCTACTGAGCATTACACCACATACCAGCCAGAAGGGTCTTATTAAAGATTCTTGTTATTATATTGTTTAGTATTAAATCAACAGTAGAGGGATTTTTTTGATGAACAAGCCCAAAGTAATGAAGGTATATTACATTACCTGTTGTAAACAGAAAAACTATGTGATCAAATCTGCATGCTTTGTCATGTCAAGACATTAATACCTCAGAGAGATCCAAGATGGTGGAGAAATGAGTGGAGGCTTCACTAACCTTCTCTGAGGACCAATCTGGAATTATAATTAAATTGTAGAGAAGTCATCTGGAATAAACACCTGAATAATAGTGGGAGACAAGCCTTACAACCATGGACAGAGAGAAGAAACAGCCTCACCTCAACATGACTGGTATGGAGTGAGGAGGAGATGTGAGAGAGTTGGCTGGGCTCCCATGGGTGGCAGCTGAAGTGCCACAGGAATATTTCAGCAGCCAGAGGGTCCCATTGAGAAATGTGGGATGTAAACCCCAAGCTGGGCTCCCCAGTCTATACCACCAGAGCCCCAAAAGTACCCAGATAACATCCAGCTGTGAAAAGTGGCAGGGTTTCTCTCTGCCAGGAACAGACTCCTGGAGATGTAGAGGAGCTTTTAAAGGGCCAATTCATAATTTTTCATTTGTAGCCACTTACCCTAGGCTCTGGTAAAGGGGGAGTGCAGAGTAGACTAGAGATGCTTGAGGAGAGACTAGGGTTGGTGGCTTTGGGGAGAGAGCTGAGAAAGCGGCTGCCAGGATCCTGGTGCTGAGTCATTCCCTCAAATTGCAGGAGCCATCTTGTTCAGCAGACAACTACCCTCTGAGTGGCATCAACCTGAAGGGAAGCAATAACCCCATCCCCAGGAGTTATCAGCCCCACCCTGAGGTGCTCAAGCCTGACTGCTGATTAGAGTGACTAGATTAACAACTGAAGGAGTAAGCCTTAGATGGTGGATGTCCAGTAGTTTCAAACAGGCTGCCTAAGGCTAGACTGTGGCACCATCTTACATTACCCGAGGCAGATCCAGAATGAAAAAGCAAATGAGGGAAGGGCCATCAAGGGACATTTATAAAGGACACATGGGCAAAGCCAAAGGGGGTAGGTTCGAGGGTGGGAGGTGGGGATAGGTGGGGTGGGGCAGGGCAGAGCATGGAGATGGGAAAATGGAGACAACTGTACTTGAACAATGATAAAAATTTATTAAAACATAAATATGTAAATACATAAAAATAGTAGTAAATACGAGATTCTATGGAGATGAAATCCACCATTGTCATTTTCATGATTTGTGATCTTTTCTCTCCTGCACAGTCTTTTAAGATTCATTTCTTGTCCTTCGAATTTGTGCATACTAAGTCACTAGATTCTATATTATAGTTTATTTCAATTCTCATATTGTGTTCTTCCCTTTTCCTACCCAATTGTAGCTTCTTCTTCCTCTTCTTATTTTCATTTCAATTTTTTTCTCTCTTGCTACAACTTGTTTCCATTCCACACTCTTACTATTTCTCTACCCTCCAGACTCTCACAACCATTTTTCTTGTCCTTGGCCATCTCACATTCTTTTTCCCACTCTGTGCTCTCTCTCCGCCTTTATCAGTCTTTGTTCATTGGTGGTGGATAGGGTGGTTATTGTTGCATTTCTTCAACTTTAACTTTAGATCTTCACTATTTTGGTTTTGCAAGTCTCAAATTTTACTGTTCTCCTCTCGTACTTCATTCTGCCTTCCTTCTGAATTTTTTCACATCAAATTTTAATTTTTCCTTGTCTTAGCCTTGCTTTTCCCCCTCAGTTTTAGAATTCCTTCTCCCTCTCTCATCTCAGAATCACTTCTTGCCCTGGCTAGTGTAGCTTATGGATTTAATGGGGGCCTGTGAAGCAAAGGGTCACAGGTTTGATTCTTAGTCAGGGCACACACCTGGGTTGTGGGCCAGGTCCCCAAGGGGGCATGCAAGAGGCAACCATACATGGATGTTTTTCTTCTTCTCTTTCTCCTTATCTTCTCTCTAAAAATAAATGAAATCTTTAAAAAATTACTTCTCTTTCCAGTAGACATCTCTTAAGCTTCTCCTTCTCCCCTCCTCTTACTCCCATCACACCTATATTAATCTCAGCTCATTTGTTGTTTTAGTGCTATGGTGGATCTTTTTCTCCAATTTGGTTCTTCTTTTAGTTGTTCATTTACTTAATTTTTCCTTTTTCTTTCTGTCTCTCACTTTAATAAAATTCTGTTGTATTACACTTAATACTGTGTAGTCTCCTTCTCCTGCTCTATTCCACCTTCTTCATTCCCTTTTTTATTTCTAATGTAAATATTACTTCCTTGCTGTCTTTGCCTTGCTCTGATTCCCTAATCTTATTGTTCCTCCCTCTACCCTCACAAAATCATTTTATTTCAGTTAGTGATTTCATATTTTTCTCCTTTCTTCTAATAGTCTTAATCTCTCAACACCATTATTAATACTTGTATCCTTGCTGTTGATAGTGGGATTGTGGATGGAAGTTATTTTTGCCTGTGTGGGTTTATTTCCTGGGCTGTGTGGTTTTGTTCTGGTAGCACCTGCACAACCGCATATAAGATGTGGTGGGTGGAGTGTGTCTTAGTGAGCCAACCAGAGGGAAGGACCCACAAAAAGAATGACCCAACTACAATAAAAACCCAATTACAACCAGACAGCCAACATAATTGGCATAAAGGGCATCTCATGAGCATCACCTTCAAGGGATCAAGGAGAGTGCACCTCTGAATCCCTCAGGTCTCCTACTATAGGATTTCATATCATGAAGTCAGGGAGACAAACAGATCAATTTAAGAAGCAAAAAGAAACAAAAGGAGTGTCCCCTAAAATGGGGAGACAAAGAAACAACCCTCAATTGAAAGGAAAAGGTGAATCCCCAGAAAGAATGCTAAATGAAATAGAGGCCAGTAAACTATCAGACACTGAGGTTAAAAATAATAGTTACAAGGAAGCTCAATGAATTCAGTGAGAACTACAAAGAACCACAGGAAGCTGCAAGGAACTTACTGCAAACTACATCAGCATGAAAAAGGATGTAGAAACTATCAATATGAGCCAGGAGGAAATGAAGAATAGAATTCCTGAATTGAAGAACCCAGTAGAAGGAATTAAAAGCAGGCTAGATGAAGCAGAGGATTGAAACAGTGAGCTGGATGACAAGGTAGAAAAAAATTCCCAGAAAGAGCAAGGAAAGGGAAAAAGACAAAAAGAATGAAGAGAATTTAAGGGAGCTGTATGGAAATCTGAAACATAATAATATGCATATAATAGGTATACTAGAAGGAAAAGAAGAGGAGCAAAGCATAGAAAACCTGTTTGAAAAACTAATGATGGAAAATGTCCTTACCTTAGGAGAGAAAATGTCACACAGTCCAGGAAGCACAGAAGGTCCCAATCAAGATGAACCCAAAGAGGCTCCCTCCAAGACACATCATAATTAAAATGACAAAATTCAAAGACAAAGAGAGAATCTTAAAGGCAGCAAGGAAGAAACAGGAAGTAACATACAAGGGAGCTCCAATAAGCTAGCAGCTGTTTTCTCAACACAAACACTACAGGCCAGAAGGGAATGCCAAGAAATATTTAAGTAATGAGAAGCAAGGACCTGTAACCAAGACTGCTTTACCCAGCAAGGCTCTCATTTAAAATGGAAGGCAAAATATGGAGTTTCCCAGACAAAAGCAGGCTAAAAGAACACATCTCCACAAAGCCAGCACTGTAAGAGATGCTAAAGGGACTGTTTTAAGAAGATGAAGAAAAAGAGAGAGAGGGGGGAACACAATAGCAAAGGGAAAAATGGCAATGAACAAGTACCTCTCAGTAAGAACTTTAAGTGTAAATGGATAAATGCTCCAATCAAGACATAGTGTAGCTGAATAGATAAGAAAACATTTCCCACATATATTCTGTTTCCAAGCGACCCAACTCAGAAGAAAAGATCTACAGAGACTGAAAGTGGAAGGATGGAAGAAAATATCCCAAGCAAACAGACCTAAAAAAATAGAAATACTTATATCAAGTAAAATAAATTTCAAAACAAAGGCCATAAAGTGAGACAAAGGAGGATAATATATGCTACTTAATTGAAAAATCCATCAAGATACAACCCTTGTAAACATATATGCACTCAAGATAGGAACACCCAAATATATAAGGAGAATCTTGGAGAACTTAAAAAAAACATCAACAGCAATGCACTCATTGTAGGGAATTTTGACACCCCAACAATGGATAGGTCTTCCCAATGAAGAATCAATAAGATATTGTGGCATTGAACTACACTCAGGTTCAAATGAACTTAATTGATATTTACAGAACCATTTACCCCAAAGAAGCAAAATACATGTCTTTTCAAGTACATATAGAACATTTTGAAAGATAGGCCACATGGTAGGTCACAAAACAAGCCTCACAAACTCAAGTAAATTGGTATTTATATCAAGTATTTTTTGGATCGCAATGGCTTGAAACTAGAAGCCAACCTGAAGGGAAAAACCTCAAAAACAGTCAAATTCATGGAGACTGAATAGCATGCTATTAATGGAGAAACTGTACTTGAACAACAATAAAAGAATTAAAAAACAATGATTGGGTTAACAGTGGGATCAAGGAAGACATTAAAAAGTTTCTGGAAAGAAACGGAACACACAACAACCCCAAACCTAAGGGACACAGAAAAGGCAGTCCTGAGAGGGAAGTTCATAGTAATATTGGACTAACTAAAAGATAGAAAAATAATGGGGGAGAAGAGGGAAGGGTCATCAAGGAATATGTGTAAAGGACACATGGAGAA